GGGAGACAGCTCAGGGGGCAGGAGAGTATGGAGGGATGGACACTGGTAAGAGGTAATTATGGGGAGGAACTGGGAAGGGAGCTGTAGCATTGTGGTAAACTGTGGTCAATGACATGTGACAAAGTATATGTGAACTGCTCTATGGAAAGCGAATTTGCTCTGTAAATCTTCACCCAAATCACAATAAATAAAAAAAAGAAGACATGAATAGACACTTGCCAAGGAGTATATTTAGGTGGTCAGCTAATACACAAAAAGATGCTCACAATCAATGGCCATCAGAGAGATGTAAATCAGTACAACAATAAGATATACCGTCTCACCCCAGCACTGATGGCAAGGTTCAGTGAGACAGAAAATAACAAATGCTGGTGGGGATGTGGAGAGATTGGGACTCTCATACACTGCTTGTATGACTGAAGTGACACAACCACTGTGGAAAGCAATATGGCAATGCCTTAGAAAGTTGGAATTGGAGGTACCGTTTGACCCAGCAATCCCATTACTAGGTATATATCCTAGAGAGGTGAGAGCCAGGACAGGAACAGATATATGCATACTCATGTTCATCTCAGCACTATTTACAATAGGAAAAAGCTGGAAACAACCTATGTGCCCTTCAGCAGAAGAGTGGATGACCAAATTATGGTACATACACATACTGGAATGCTTTGCAGCACTAAAGAATTATGTAGAGTCTGTGAAACACTGCATAATATGGGTAAAGTTGGAGGACATTATGCTGAGTGATATAAGTCAATCACAGAATGAGAAATATAATATTAGTTCTTTGAGGGAACACTGAAAAAAAAATGGATTGACCCATGTCACTTCAGTTTTGTGTATTTCACTGTACATAAATTATATTTCAATTAAATGCATTAAAAAAAAAAAAAAAAAAAAAACAGTAAACCAAACTCAGGCCATCGAGTTGATTCCAACTCATCATGACCCCTTTTGGGTTTCTGAGGTGGTAAATCTTTATGGAAGTAGATTGCCCAGCCTTCCTTCCAAAGAGTGGCTGATAGTTTTGGGCTGCCAGTCTTCTGGTTAGCAGTCAACTGCCTTAGGCACTATACCGCCAGAGCTCCAAAAAAGTTAGAGATTAGTCAGGGATGGAAACTCACTTTGTTGGTTACCAGGGATGAGAGGGAAAGGGAGGAAAAATCTCAGACTATTTGGGGGTCACATGTTGATTTGGTTTAGAGAAAGAATGGTATAGAAAGAGTCTGTGACCAGTATGGTGACATGAAAGGAAGGACACTGAATTGTATATAAAAGATATAGACAACAGTGACAAATACTGTTAAATACACAACATTGCAGTATCACTAGCACCAAATACTAGGATAAGGATTAATGCATAGACAGGTGAGAAGAACAGGTGGGATAGGTGAACAGGAATACACTCTAGGCCAAGCACAGATTTGGCTGAAGATAATCTTACATATGCACTTGTGCTACAAAATTATCCACTTACGTTACATAAACAACAGAAGACAGGGTTGGAGTAACTTCTTAGAGACAACCAAACATCTTGTGAGAGAGAATCATAAGGCTTGGGAGCTTGGGACCATAGTCTTGCGGGATATCATGCTCAGTTGGCACACATAGTTCATAAAAATTTTGTTCTACAACCTGATTAGGTGAGTAGCGACCGGGACCTTAAAAGCTTTCAAACAGCCATCTAAGATGCAACTATTGGTCTGTCTTGTCTGGAGCAAAGAAGAATAAAGATCAGTCATCTGGAAGCAATTAGTCCCAATAATGGTTGATGTCATGAAAGTAGATGATACTGGGGGAAAATAAATATTATGAAAAGATAACAGGAACAAAACCTTTAGAACATTAACATGTTAGATGATCACTAGATGAGGAGGGGCCAGCAAAGGAGAAGGAGGAATGATCTAAGATAGGAAATAAGAATCAGGAAAAAGCAGTGTTATGTGTAGCCCTTATAAAAGTTTCGAGAAAGAACGGATGATCTGGAGCATCCAATGCTGTTTGGAAGTTCAAAAGTAAAAGTGGTCTCTTAGATTGAAAACTAAATATAGACTATTTGATTTGGCAACATATGGGCGATTGGTGACCCAATCAAGAGCCTTTGCATCCATGTAGTGAGGTTGAACAGCAAATTTTAGTAGGTTGAAGAGTGGATAAACCAAACTAAACCAAACTCACTGCTGTCAAGTTGATTCCCCAACTCACAGTGACCCCTCCTTGGGTTTCCGAGGTGGTATCTCTACAGAAGTAGACTGCCCAGTTTTCCTTCCAAGGAGTTCCTTCCAAGGAGTCCCTTCCAAGGAGCTTCAGGTTAGCAGTCAAATGCCTTAGGCACTATACCACCAGAGTAGATAGGAGTTGTAAAAGCTGCAATGACTGTTGTCCCAGGAAGTTTAGAGTTAAGGAAAGGCAAGAAATTAAACCAGCCACTCCTCAGAGGTTGGGCAATCTACTTCTGTAGTGATACCGCCTCGGAAACCCAAGGATGGGTCATTATGAGTCGGGTCCAACTTGACGACAAAACAACAATAACAACAACAAAATGTCAGAGTCAAAAGCTCTGGTGGTACAGTGAGTGGTTAAACCTGCTAACCAGAAGGTCTGTGGTTTGAATCTGTGGGAGAAAGATGATGAGGCAGCCTGCTTCCATAAAGATTTACAACCTTGGAAACCTATGGGGCAGTTCTGTTTTGTCATAAAGGGTCACCATGAATTAGAATTAACTCGATGGCAGTGGGTTGGGTTTGGGTATGTGAGAGTGTGATGGTCAGGAAGGATTTTTTTTTTTTTTTTTAAATGAGGGTGACTTCAATATGTGTGTATACTGAGAAGAATAAACCAGAGAAGAAAGATTGTTTAAAGATACAGGAGAAAGTAGAGATGGTTCATAGAATACTATCTTGGAGAAAGCTGGGCAAGTAAAAGGACAATGTATTGGCAAAGGATAGGGTGAGGATGTGATGGGGTGGTATGGCCCATAGATAATCCACCCGAGGATGGGAGTTTGTGAGATGAGGACTAAGGATATTATGAGTAAGCTTGGAGGTAAATTAAGATGCTCCAACAAAAGTTAACAGAAGTTTTTGTGTATTAAAAAGTGTTCTTTTATATTTACCTTATCTCAATGACTATTTCTTACCTATTTGATTACTTCCAAACAAATGTTTTATCTGTCTTAAAAATGACTCTTGATTATCTATGGAAAATATTTTATCTGGAAATATCTGCCTCATTTTAATATTGGAGCTAATTCCCAAACTACTAGATAGGAAAAGAAATCGTTGGTAACAGTCCTCACGAAGAAAAATAGAAGTAATGCTAAAAACAATCATAATACAATCTGAAAAACGATTGTTTTGCAGACTGCATTCTCACTTGCATGTATCCTTTTTCTAGGCTCACTCTAAAAATTAAGATACTCACTGATGTCTTAGTTACCTAGTGCTACTATAACAGAAATGCCACAAATGGTTTTAACAAACAAATTTATTTTCTCACAGTTTAAGAGGCTAGAATACTGGTTTTCTTTCTCTCTTGACTCTGAAGGAAGGTCCTTGTCTTGTTTCAGCTTCTGTTCCTTGGCTCCTTGGTGATCTTCATGTGGCATGGCATCTATCTTCTATTTCTGCTTTTTTTGCTCTTTGCTTAACTTGCTTTTTTATATCTCAAAAGAGATTGATTTAAGACACAACCTACACTATATTACATACTCCTATATTAACGTAACAAAAGAACCCCTTCCCAAATGGGCTTATAACCACAGGTACAAGGGTAGCATTTACAACATGTATTTTGAGAGTACACAATTCAGTCCATAACACTAGAGATATGGACAAGAAGTTCTAGAACTTTCCCCTAAGAGGTTCAGGGAAATTCTTGGATTGAGAACTAACTGAGCCCACAAAGCAAGTGTTTGTGACAAATATGGATTCTTTAATGGTTCTCCAACTCTGGATCTACAGTTCTGAGGCAAGCTAAGTATTCTGATATTCTAGAAATTTGAGTTGAATACTCTGTAGTGAGGCCATCAATTTGTAATATAATACTAATGATTTATGGAGATTCTCAGTTGTTGGTACTAATAGTGACAGGGAGCTGAATAATAATACCTAGTGGTATAGTAAATACTCAACACATTATTTTGTGTGTGTATGTGTGTGTGTAATATGATTGTCTTTGATGTTGTATTGATCTAAAACAGAGTTGCCTAAATTACAAATCACATCCAGATTTGGACTTGTCATTATTGAGCCCATGGAGCATTGATGCCATACTATTAATGTTGTTGTTGTTGTTGTTATGTGCCATTGAGTCGGCCTCGACTCATAGCGACCTTAAATTAGGAAATGTGTGTTTTAAGAAATGTTCAATACCATTGTTTTCATAAGCAGTATGACCTCATGAATAAATATGAATTTAATGCTGTTGCTCTTAGGTGTTGAAAGATTCTCTGTGATCCAGAGAGTCAAATAATTTCTCACGAGGATGCTGATAATCTCATTGAAATTTACCAATATAAAATCTAATATCTATTAATTAATGTCCTACTTTTTTTCCAAGTAATCTTCCTCTTTGAGGCATCAACTGGAAAACCATTAGGTGATGGAAAACTTCTTTCTCATAAGGTAATGGACTTTAGATATTTCTATTATAAAAGGCCACTTTATTTACTTCTTTTAAAAATTAATATTTTCATTCTAAGGGAGAAACCATAGAAATTTAGTTTTATATTTAAAATCAGTGTGCATTCTACGTGGAGAATTTTGCCTAAAACTTTTTCAATTAAAGAGTAAGTACCGGGTAAAGTCTATAATAACCCATTGCCATCTGGACAATTCCGACTCATAGCAACCCTGTAGGGCATAGGTTTCCAAGACTGTAAATCTTTACAGAAGCAGAGTGCCACATCTTTTTCCCATGGAACTGCTAGTGGGTCAAACTGCTGACGTTTTGGTTAGCAGCCAAGTGCTTTAATCACTGTACCACCGGGGCACCTATAAAGACTGTAATAGTGAGCTATATAGTAAATTAATTGAATAAAAGGAGCTGATTTATATGTCTTGTCTAGACTATATTGACTGCTTTTAAATAAAATGTTTTATCTTTATTAAACCATTAACACTTACCAGAAAATAAAAATGTTTTTACGTTTCTAGCAACACAATGCACTGCCATTGAGTCGGATCCGACATATAGCAACCCTTCCTTGGGTTTCTGAGGCAGTATCACTACGGAAGTAGATTGCCCAGCCTTCCTTCCGAGGAGTGGCTGGTGGGTTTGAACCACCAGCCTTCTGGTTAGCAGTCACATGCCTTAGGCACTACGTCACCAGAGCTCCTAC